CAGCGTGGGGCAGGCCAGGCCTCTGCCTAGTGCTGCCAGAGCGCCCGGGAATGAGCGGGTCTTGCCCCTGGTAACGTCCTCTGTGGCATTTGGGGCTTTCTTCTGTTTTTTAGAGGTACATGGAAGTGAGTGGCAACCTGAGAGACTTGTATGACGACAAGGACGGGTGAGTGCTTGTACAAACACGTCGTCTGGCGTGTGTGCGCCTGAACGTCTGCTGGATGTGTTTTGCAGATGAAGAACTTGGGGGTTCTTTTAAGTCACTTGTAAATATATGAGGAGTAATGCTGCTATGTGAGACCAGGAATCACGTTTTGGAGGCGAAACCCACTGGAGCAGGACCCAGGCTGCACATTGGATATGTACATGCAGGATATACGCATTTTGTTATTTTCTTGGTTTAAGCCATGGGGGGAGGCCGTGAGGTGCCTCGAAGGTGTGTAAGTGGAGACTGCAGCATGGTCAGCGGGAGACGTGACCCGGAGCCTCAAACCGTAAGCCTGGTGGACTGTGAGATCTGATGTGACTTTCTGGGGTTTGCAGTCAGTCTTACTGGAGCTTTGTGTGATCGAAATGCAGCACTAGACCTGGAAAAAGATTGTATCAGTGCCAGCGTGTTTTCCTTTCTGCTTGTAATCTGTCCTTTTTCATGAACTCGTAGCTTACGGAAAGAAGAACTCAGTGCCATTTCAGGGCCAAATGAATTTGCAGAATTCTACAACAGACTGAAACAAATTAAGGAATTTCACCGAAAGCACCCAAATGAGGTAAGTAGTTCTCTACTTCATAAGAATAGGTGATTTGTGGTCTGTTGGACCTCATCCCTATGATAAACAGACTTTTTTTTCCCAGTTTAATTGCCTTAATATACAAGCATTAAGTACACTAAAACGTCACTTGAGAAAAGATGATGTTCAAGGTTCGGTGGTGCTTCAGAGGCAGTACGTAAACTGCGAGAGCGGTATGAGTAGGAGAAGATGTAGGATGCTAACCGTGTTCTCTGCTTGCTGTGTGTTAGCTCAGGAACGTTCTGCTGCTGAGCTGGCATTTGGTCTTGCCTTTCTCCTGCTGGCTAAAGTCAGATTTTTTTCTTTGTGCAAAAGTAATGGAGAAGAAATGCTTTGGATACCTTTTCAGTTAGCAGTTTTACTGTTTGCAACTTATTGTGATTTTATATGAATTATTCTGGGACATTAGCTGAAGTAATATTTTTTTCTGTAACTTCTGTATGTTCTTGAAGATCTGTGTTCCGATGTCAGTGGAGTTTGAGGAACTGTTGAAGGCCAGAGACAACCCGAGTGAAGAAGCTCAAAGTAAGTCTGTAGTTTTTCTTTGAGGACAGTTTAAGTGAAAATATGCTGCTTGCTTGAGAGGCGTTATTTAATGAGTCGTTTGATCTGTTTTGCGTGTTTTGAGTTCCGCCTCCCTTTTACTAAATGACTTCTGGAAATTGTTCTTTTGTTATTTAAATTCTTCTGAACTGCAGCCCCCTGGAATATTCCACAGTAGTGGTGCTCCTCCTGAGGAATGTTCTAGTGTGCTTACGCAGAGAAGCAGTCAGGTGTCTAATCAATGAGCATCCCATTTGCATTGTGAACATCTTCCTTAAGCATAAATTAGTCCACAGTTGATCCTTCTCAAGTTCTAAAGCATGTATATAATAAGTGGGGAAGATTAAGCTCATAATAAAGCTCTTTGTGATCTTTCCTACAGATCTGGTGGAGTTCACAGATGAGGAAGGGTATGGACGATACTTAGATCTGCATGACTGCTATCTCAAGTACATTAATCTGAAATCATCAGAGGTAAGTGGCTGCATGTGTCTGGGCAACTTCAGTGCTTAAGGCTGAGGGGTTTTTCTTTGGTTGGTTCATGGTTATTTGTTGGTTTTCTTTTCTTATGTAGATAAGTTTTTATTTCTAAATAGCTATTTCAAAGTCACTTTGTTGCACATACAGCTTGACAGCATCTGAATTCCGAACGCGGCTTCGTGACTCTCCTCTTTTGTTCTCTGCGGTTGATATCTCTCTGTCGTTAGTGTAATGATGGCCTCTGCTTTCTGCCACCGAGTACCGATAGGTGTCTAAGGCAGTGTGTTAGCGCACAGAGAACCCCGGGCCTCTGCAGTCCAGAATAATGGCATGAGCTAGTGCTTCTCTTCTCTTCTGGTAACTGGATGTTAATTTGGCTGCATGTGTATAAAGTCTGACTCAAACTTCTTCATTCTTAGAAATTGGATTATATCACTTACTTATCCACATTTGACCAACTCTTCGATATTCCCAAGGAGAGAAAAAATGCTGAATATAAGAGGTGAGCCTTTTTGCCTACCTGCTTCTTTTATGACAGTTGATGAGAAGGAATTTGTTTCTTAAGCGTACAGCTGCTAAGAATATAATTAACAGTCAAACTTAACTCATGTAAATTGGGCCACTGAGCTATAGTAACTCAGTCGTGTGTCTGAGCCCTGAGAAAACATGCAGCACAGCAAAACTGTGGAAAGCCACATTCTACCATGTGGAGGGACCTTGCTTTATCCTTGTAACTACTGTATCTAGAAATCGTGTGTTGAAAACTGTCAGAATCTTGATGACTTCCCTTTGGAGTACTAGAGGGTAATTACTTTCCAAAGATGTGGTTAGAGAAATATGTTTGAGGTTGATATTGAATTACCTGTGCTCATGATTACTCTGCCAGGTACCTTGAAATGCTTCTTGAGTACCTACAGGATTACACAGATCGAGTGAAACCGTTACTGGACCAGAATGAACTTTTTGGGAAAATTCAGACTGAGTTTGAGAAGAAGTGGGAAAATGGGACATTCCCTGGCTGGCCGGTGAGCAGTTGTTAGGCCTGTGTGAACGCCTCTGTATTTGTGATAGGTTTTCTGTGAAACATTTGTGTAAAGTCACCACTGAGGTTAAGTCTAATAGCAAGGTGTGTAGTTGTGTATCACAAAGATGCAATTTAACACTAACTTGAATTTGAAAACCAACATGATCAGTTTGAAACAAACCTTTTTTAAGGCTTGCTTATTTTGTATCTTTTCTATTGTCCCATTGCTCAGTTTAGCGAGAGAATTTTTCTCTGTGAAATGAACTGCTTTTCTTGAGGTTAGAATATTATATTGCATGAAGTGTTGTAGGATGTCACAAGGATCTTGCATGTGGATTTTCTTGGCAGAAAGAGACCAGCAGTGCACTCACTCATGCTGGAGCCCACCTGGATCTCTCAGCATTTTCCTCTTGGGAGGTATGTTTTCAGTGCTCTGCACGTAGTGCTTAATTTTGAGCAGGTGGAAGCTTAGTAATTTTGTTTCTTTTCATAACTTTACTTGCTGTGCTTTTGCCTCTGGCTCTGTGCTCTCTGAATAAAACTTTGATTATGCTGATGACTTACATCCCCCTTATGGGAGAAATTAGCTTGAAAGATCTGGTTAGATTTGTCACATTCCTCATTTTTCAGTGAGGAGTGGTGCACCCTTGACATTCCTTTCTTGAATGCTGTTTGTTGTTTGGGTTTTATTTTCTTTTTTAGTGAGTTAAAATGGACATGCATCCATATTGTATTTGTTTAATAGCTTCTCTCTCATTGTGATTTACTTTAATTGACCAGGAATTGGCCTCCCTGGGACTGGACAGGTTAAAATCGGCTTTACTGGCCCTGGGACTAAAATGTGGCGGGTAAGGTGCAGCCTCTTCATAGTTCCTTTTCAGTTTTTGAGGTCTTCCTGTCTTGCATTCCTTTATGGGACACTTGTTTTGTTGTCTCTGTTGTACAAGTATTACTTTATTGATGTTTGAAAGACAAAACATTGAAAACCAATCAGGGGATACTGCGATCTACTGTTTTGAAAAGTGTCCTGTACTGAAGTCTCTTGTATAGAAAAATTTGGCTTAAGGAATGAAGACAAAGATAGTAGGAAATCTCATGATCTCTTAAAAGCTAAATTTAGAATTTTGTTGCATGAATTCATGTTCTTGGGAAATATAAAACTATGGTTTGGACTCATCTCCTCCCTGCTTCTCCACAGGACTCTGGAAGAGAAAAAACTAAAGGCAAATCCCTAGAAGCACTTGATCCTTCCTTGTTTGCTAAGAATCCAAAGACAAAAGGAAGCAAAAGGTGAGTTCCTAAAGGTCGTTCTCAGGTTGGTGGTGTTCTCTTCACTTGGATGAGAAGTATTCTATAGGCATCATTCTTGTATAGTTGACAGAGAGATTCTTGGAGTATTAGTAGGTTTTCATGTTAGACCAAATGGAAGATATCAGAGCTGAATAGTTTGTGTACAGTTTAGTTTACACTAGCTGTTTGGTACTTGTTTCTGTTTTCTTGCTGTACAAAGTCAAATGTGTCTTTAGGAGTTCAGTGTACACATGATGTTTGCAGTTCTGGAATGGACTTCATAAAGTTTCTTTATCTATTTCCAGGGACACTGAAAGAAATAAAGATCTTGCATTCCTGGAAGCTCAGATTTATGAGTATGTAGAAGTTCTTGGGGTAAGGATTTTATTTTGTCTTTGAGCTTTTTATTTCAGAGCTGTCAAATTGTTGACTGGAAGGTCATCCACATCTTTACGCAGTGCTTTCATAGACAGCATGCCCAGAAGAGTTATTTTCATGTCCAGAGTCGTAGTGTTTTAAAGTGCATGTTAGCAGGTAGCTTTTTCTGTCAGTAAGTAGAATGTGATGGATTACACTTACATTTCCATTAGCTAAATATTTGCCAGGTTTTTGTGAACCGACCCAGATTTGGAGGCTACATGTTCCCTTGGAGAAGCCTGTCTTGTCTTTTTTTTTTTTTTTTTTTCCTTCTCTTCTTCTAGGCACCACATCAATGTAGATAATTTTTATGCCTAAGTCACAGGATACTGCAAACCTTTACTTGCTCTGCCTTGATGCGTGCCTTAAGTCCTTGCTTAAGTTTGGGGCAATTGCTTTTAGCAGGGTGGCTGTTGCTGTTAGCTTGTCATCTTGGAAGTGCTAATGGTAGTACAAGTTTTTCATTCTTTAGAATGTTATACTAGAAACTTAAGTTGTTGGGCTAAATAAAATGAGAGTTCTCTGTTTCTTACTGGTCTTCCATTCCCCTCCCTCTGTACGTTGAGGAGGTGTTTCACACTGCAAGAGTTTGCCCTTATTTTGTTGCTATCATGTTGTGTGAACGATTCTTTCTGTTTTCTCGCACTCTAGGAACAGAGACACCTCACTCATGAGAATGTGCAGCGTAAGCAAGCACGGACAGGGGAAGAGAGGGAGGAGGAGGAGGAAGAGCAGATCAGTGAGAGTGAGAGTGAAGATGAAGAAAATGAAATAATTTATAATCCTAAAAATCTGCCTCTTGGTTGGGATGGCAAGGTAACTGAGATTGTCAGGTCTAGAAAAGTGGGAGATGTCACTGACTCCACACCACTCTTCTGTCTGAACCTGCCTTGCCATTTGGCCTAATCTTTGTTTCTTTTCGCTTGTCAGCCAATCCCATACTGGTTATATAAATTACATGGCTTAAACATCAACTACAATTGTGAGATTTGTGGTAACTACACCTACCGAGGGCCCAAAGCTTTTCAGCGTCACTTTGCAGTAAGTAATGTTTTGCTACAAAAACATCAGTACTATGTTCAGGTAATCTTTATAATAAGTAACTAGTAAACCACTGGAGTGCCTGAGTGGCACTTCTTCCACTTCTAAAATGTGGGTCTGGGCTGATGCTGCAGGGCTGTGCGATTGGAACTATAAAATATGTAGGGCATACTAAGATCTCTTCTGCAAATTTATGTACAGTCCCTTCTTGTTTGAACGCTAATTTCAGTATCCAAGTCTGATTGGTGCAGAGCGCCTGTTGACTGCCAGTGTATTGTTACTGTCTGAAATACCAAAAAAATATTTTTATAGAGGTTTTTGGGACTGGTAGATGTGTATTTTGGTAGTATTTGTTTCACCCTGTCCAGATGTTAATATGTCTTTTAGTCTTTGGCATTGCGGATGAAGTGGCATTCCCCCTCGTACACTGACCTCTTGTCCCTTCTCCCCAGGAGTGGCGACACGCTCACGGGATGAGATGCCTGGGCATTCCCAACACTGCGCACTTCGCCAATGTCACACAGATTGAGGATGCGGTCTCATGTAAGTAGTGATGGCAGAACAGGGAATGTGTGGCATAATGCTCTATTAGCTCTCGCCAAAAATTTGTCTTGCTCTATGACCAGAGAGTAGTTCCAGGAAGGAGGGTAAGAAACATGGTGCATGTGGAATGATCCTTCCTTGGACCATCCCTCCCAGCTCTTAAAAGGAGAGTGGCTTTTTTTTTGTTGGATACCTGCGGGAGTAGATGCTTGCTGGGATTGCCAGCGAAGTGTTCATTTGTTGCCGGCTGTTTTGTCTGTGGCGCTTTGTGTATGAATTCTCAGCCAAGTGCAATGGGCCACCATTTCTTTAGGCAGAGTGTGGCTACATCATCCCACGTAACTCTTAATTGATATTCGTCAACATCTTCATGGGGAAGCCAGAAAAACCTTCAGAAATGGTAGAGCCTATAGGCAGATTTTGAAAGCCTACAGTACTTAGGACTTAGTGTTTATAATTTAATGCAGCTAATGTGTGCTGATGTTTTGAGGAGGCTACCTCATGCAGAGGTTGTTTCTTGAATCTGCCCCGCTTACGTTAACAGATACAGGTCATGGTTCCTAGAGGTAAATTAACTCTTGCCTAGGAGAAACCAAACAGGTAAAGCCTTGATTTCCCAAACAAGCTGCTATTACCTTTGGAGCTGTATCTCTGAAGTAGTGTTCTTGGATCTTTGTCTCGTGTCCCATCCTGAATGATCACTTTAAAGCTTTCTTTGCTTTAGTTCTTGTGCCTTTCAGTAAACCGTACAGGGGGATGGTACATTTGTAATGGGTATTAGATACATTCCTGGACTGCTGAAGTGACAGTGTTTTAAAAGAAAGTGTGGGGGGGAAAGCTCGTGTATATTTTACTAGATTAAAAACTAGTATCTCCAGGGAAATGGCATCAGAACCTGTATGACTTTGTATTTACAGTGTGGGCAAAGCTGAAACAACAGAAGGCTTCAGAGAGATGGCAGCCCGATACAGAGGTGAGATGTTATAGAGGCATTTGGACGTCTCTAGTCCTGTGTACATGGGAACCCCCCCTTTACCTTGCATGAACTGTCTGGCTCCGTCAAAAGAATTTCTAAGAGAGTCCCCTGCATGCTGGAGAGATAAGCGGGAACCTACACTGCTGGCTGCACAGCTCCTGTTAGTGGTGGTGTATGAAAAGCACTTCTTGTGCTGTATTGGAAAGCAGTTCTGATAGGGCAGACTCAGCCCTTTGTGTAAGAATCTTTTAATACACTGCCTTACAGCGCCAACGTCATCTTTGCTTTGTGAGAAGAAAAAGGAACTGTTGTGAGTGGTGTGTTCACTTATACTAGTGCCTTTTCCTAAACTTCTGTCTCAAACCATTTTTCAGCAGCATGCAGGGCAACTGTGGGAAATACAGCCTGTAGTACAGCTTGTCATTATTCTGGCGCTGGATAAGCTCTTCTCACGGAGCCTGCTGGTAGATCCACTGCATGCCTTCATGCAGAGAGGTTCTTGGCAGGATGGTCGTGTGCAGTAGGTGCTGCTGGAGCTAGAATTCAAATGCTGTAGTACAACCAGAGTCAGGCCGTGTCCAGGTGTCTCTAAACTGTTCATTCCATTCTAGGAGGAATACGAGGATTCCAGCGGGAACGTGGTGAATAAAAAGACCTATGAAGACTTGAAACGTCAAGGGCTGCTGTAGCTTTTCCCAAGTGAAGGATTTCACATCTGAAAAGCAAGTGGAGATGTGTCAGCAGCTCTGGCTCTTCTTCAGTTTCTGGATTTTCTATGTGCATGAAGATAGATTTCAAGGATACTTTATAGAATCACTTTCTAGTAAGCCCCTTGTGAAAAGCAGACTTGTGACGTTATTTTATACTAAAAAAAAGACAACCTTGAAAAATAAACTGGTTTTAATTTAGGAAGTGCTGAGAAACTTGTCTCCTTTCATATGCTGGAAGGAAGAGATTTGACTATGGTATTTTTAAAATGCTTTTTACATGTTTTGAATTGTCAGAAACAATTGCTTCTCTCTTATTCCTGTTCTGATGGAAATTTTTATGATGAGGATTGCCTTTCTGTAAAGCACACATGAACATTGCATGCTGACAACGAGTAATGGTCCTATACTATATCTTGCTGTAAGCATATGGTTTTCTTTGGGCTCCTTTGCAAAACAAATGTATTTGGCTTTCGTTGCTGCTTTTATCTCAGGCCTGCCTCCCTGTGGAGGTTTGGCCACTGGGATTTTTTCAGAGAATTAATAATAGAGCTTGATTTAGGTTGTGCTGTGTGGGCAGTTTGTGGTAATTTCTCCAGCAGTGTGGCAAGTCCTCGTCGCCCCTCCAGCCCCTCAGGTGGGGTTTCATTTTGGTATAGAGTTGGCTTGTGTGACATCTCTAGCCTCAAAAAACCCCTTTCTCTGTTGTTGCTGTGCAGGGCCATCTGCATCTCCAGATGCCGTGGAGCAGCAGGTAACAAACGCTTCCCCCAGGTGATGGTTTGCGCGGCCGGCGGTTGGCAGGGGTGGGGCTGGTTACGGACAGGGTGAGTCAATGCTGGGGGCTCTTTCCTTTCCCTGCCCTGGGGGAAAGTTGTTCTCCTTGGGACGAGGCGGTGTCTGGTGGGTGTTTGTTCCTGGCCTGCCCTGGAGCCGGGCTGGGCTGTGCTGGAGCGGCATCCTGCTCGTAAGGTTGTCCAAACCTGGCCTGGGTGGTGGCTGCCCTGGTTTGGAAGGTGAGAGAAGCGCCAGCCTGCATTGTCTTCTCTTTCATTCTGAATGAACAGCCTCAGTGGTCTCTACGCAAGCTTCAGCCGTTCCAGGTCCTTGGGGAATGCTAACTGGGCCTAAATCATAAGCTAGAGGGGGAGTGTTATAGTTCTCCTTGGAGAACTTGGCCATGGAGCCTGTTTGGAGTCACGTCTTTGCTGTTTCCTTAGCTAAACAGGTAATTTTGAATGAAAGCAGAGAGATTCCTACAACGGAGACGTGGGTGTCATGGAAAGCACCAAAGCAGGTAGAATTTCCCAAACCATAGGGGTGAGTGGCAGGGCAAGGGACTGGGCAGTGAGTAGCTGTGCAGACACCTCTTTGTAGTCGGGACTTGACAGCAGCGTGGAGGCACATGCAAGGACGTAGCCCGGAGCTTTACAGCAGAAAACCTCTGTCCATTGAACCTGCTCCGTCATGAAGCCTAGCCATTGTTGGCAAAACCCCATTCTCCTTGCCGTGAAGCAGCGGTGGCTCCCGTGCCCACCCCCAGAAGCAAGCTGCAGCAGCAGCTTTGCCAGGCAGCTCCGGTGTCACAGCAGACCTGCCTCCTGCCCAGGCCGGCCTGTATTGCTTTCCCAGAGGTGCTGCCCGGTTTCCTCGCTCGGTCCAGGCAGCGAGCTGCTCGCAGCCTGAGGGCTGTGGTGCCCCGGCTGGCAGGTGGGAAATCCTGCATGAAAGATGTGAGCGCCACCGTCCCGGGCTGCGGTGTGGGCTGGCAGGGAGGGGAGACACACGCAGAGATGGGCAGGTGGGAAGGACGTGACTGTTTATTGTGAGTTAACCAGAAATATTTGAGCGTTGGCAGTGCAACAGCTCTTTATGATCCAGAGCGTTTCCACCTCTCGCTAGGGAAAGCTACTTCAGCTGTAAATGTTCCTGTTTATGTTCCGCATGAGTTCTGTGCCGGAACTAATATGCCTGGTTTTTGGTCTTTGCCGGGTCCTGAGGGCCTGTTGCATAGGCATGTCTGGAAATGGGCATTTTTCACACCAGCCTTTCCTTGTCCATCCACAGCAAGAACTGCTATGGATGGTCTCTCTTGCTGCCCTGAACGCTGAGGGCTGGTGGGCTTGGGTCCTTTCGTGATGGGTGCTGCTGTCGGTGGGCCACTTCTTCATTTGCAACAGCATCAGCAAACTGCTGCACGCTGCCAGGTGTCGTCCATAACTACCCTGATTTCGTGCTCCTGGCAGCTGCCTGCAGCTCTGTGTATTGCCTGGGAGCGCCGGTGGAGGGTTACCACACCGACGGGAGCACATAGCTCCCCAGGGGGCTCCTGCTTGCCAGCAGCCCTGCTGTGCCCCTGGGCCCCGTCAGCGGCAGGCGGCTGCGGCAGCCTTGGTGCTTTTGGAGAGCCTCTCAAGAGGGAGCGACTGTGGATGTCCTGGGGCTGAGGGGAGCGACTGGATGTCCTGGGGCTGAGCCTGCATGGCTGAGAACTGCTCCCGCAAGCACGCGGCCGCATGCAGCACTGTGCTGCGGCCCTGGGGCTCGTACTGGAGGTAGAGTGCAGACCTGTACTGGGGTGTCTGCCCCGCACCTCTGCGGGGGCAGCTCCCTGCACCCTCTGGCAACCAACCGCGGCACTCAGCAGCAACACAGGCAGGAGCTGGGCAAGCCCTCAGCAGCTGCCTTCTCTCCCTGAACGTGCTTGCAGCCGGTGTCCTAGAGGTGCTCTTGGCCTCCTGTGCAGCCCAGGCACAAACACCCCCTGGGGAGAGCCTGTGTTCCCGCTCAGCAATGTGGCTGTGCCCTTTGCTGGGTGTGCTGCTGCTGGCACAAGAGCTGGAGCTGGAGATTGTGCTGGGCTGAGCTGCAGGGGAGAGGCAACAGCCCCTCGGGAGCGGGCACCCGGCACTGCTGGAGTGTGTGGCTGTGCCGGCCAGCACCGCACTGGTGGCTTGGGGCTTTCAGTCTGGGGTAGGCAGCTCTCAGGCCCCCTCTGCGCTTGTTCAACTGCCTCCTGCTGCAGCTGTGGCTGAAAGGGCCTGACTGTTGCTCCCTAAAGTCCAGGCAAGCACAGTGACAAGGGTGCTGAATTTTTTGGTTATTTGTATGTTAGATGATTTCTGGGTTGAGAGCCTGTTGAGATGACCTGAACGGCAGTTTTCAGAGGTGCTGTTGGTGGGGGGTGTTATTGCCAGGCACTTATTCCTGCCTGAAAAGCATGTCCTGCCATTACAGGGACCACAAATGGAGTGCTGAACAACCTGGATTTCTCTGGTGTCCCATGGTGTCTGGAATAAAGGCTGTAGAATTTCCCGTCCAAAAGGTTTCTTCAAAAACAACAACAGGGAAAGTCTCTTTTATGTAACTTGTCCCGATATTGTTTCTGCCACCTCATCCCAAGCTGTGTGCCAGGCAGACTCGGGGAGCACGTGCTGCTGTGACCGCGGCAGCGACCACTGGACTGTCCCCTCCTGCTGCTCAGCTCTGACCGTGCCTCTTCCTGCCAGGTCCCGGGTGAAGTTGCTGGTGGATGAAGATGGCAGGTCGCCGATGGCTCGTTCGCCCCATTCAAGGTAACGGGGGCTCTGCTGCAGCATGGAGAACGGTGTCTGTCCCAGCGTGCCCAGGACGTCCATCCCTGCCCCAGCTGTCAGAGGCTGTGCCAGAGGCTCCCTGGGGCGAGGGGTGGCTGCTGGTCACCCGGGGCTCTGGGAAAGTAGAGGGGGGGGTGGTTCTGCATCAGGACTGGTCCCCTGTGGCCAGCATGGGTCCTTGACCTCAGCTGTGTCTGTGGGGCTCCCCATGACCTTCCCGAGGGGACGTGGCCACCACCCTGCTCCAGGAAGGCTGGTGGGGGCTGGATTTGGTGTTTCAAGGGCAAGCTGCCTGTGCTGCTGGGGTGGCTCTTTGGGCTGTGGGTAAAGCAGGCGGCAGACATGGTGCTTTCAGTCATCCCCCCTCCATTCCAGGGCTGCTGCTCTGCATCTTGGCTCTGCACCTCTGCGTCCAGGACCATCTTGCCACAGCAGGTGAGCTCTGCACCCCGAGGGAAACCTGGGGCTCCTGTGGGGAGCGGGGCAAAGGCAGTGTGGTGCCACGGGGACTTTGTCCCTGTCCCCTCTAGGCTGTATTCTGTAGGATGGAGCTGTACTGAGGAACCTTTTTCCAAGGTTTTGAACCCAGAAAAGCCTGTTCTTCATATGCAGTGTGGCTGGAAGGGGGAGGGAAAAGCTGTTGTAACATCTGTCAGTAGTGCTGCTGCAGTAGTCTGTTGTCTCTGACCTGTTTGTTGAGTTGCCTGGTCGCTGGCTGCAAATGGACCTTGTTTGGGACGTCCTGTCACTTACTGCCATCCACATCCCAACCACAATGTGACTGATGCTTCCCGCAGATGTCTTTGGACTCTGCAGAGGTTCAGGAGGGGATGCGGGGCTTGTTGAGTGTGAGGTTGATGTTTCCTTCACTAAGGGGAAACTTTGTGTCTTCCAGAGTACAACGTGGC